AGTGGCTAAGATACCTGGAAAGGTCTTAAACAGTATGGACGAGGTGTTGCTTCAGACCAGTCAAATCAGAAGCTCCAAATTTAGCCAAGGCATTGCTAATTAAAAATATTCCTGATGCGATTCAAAGACACAGCCAGGCTTAAGAATCATCAACTGCAACTATAATTATCAATTATTTTAGTTAATAATGCTCAATTATTAGGGCTTTCCTTCCTGTCTGGATTAAGCTGGAACTGTACTATAGATAATAATTGTCTTAATCATTTTTTGTTCCTAATTCTTCTCAAAGAGTTTCAGTATGTTATTAGGTTCTCCCACTCAAAGGTATTTCTATGCTATAGTGGTCCCGAAGATGTATTCTTGGAGTTACACTTTCTCTGGGGGAAATGCTTTATTGGTACAAGTGCAGGTTGTGGTCTCCTTGTCATATAGGGTCCCTACTCTTTGATATATGGAGTCATTTGGTTGTTTATGAATACTTTATAGATTACATTGTAATATAGATATCATGGATGAAATTGATTAACAAAGAGTACAAGGTTTCATCCTTTCATGCATGGTATAGTACCTCTTTTCATCTGAGCAAAAAGACAAGGTTAGGGGTCTAGTTTAGTGGGATGAAAATTTAGAACACAAGTAAATGCAGTGGAGATGCCTTTTACTGTTCTTCTAGTTTTGCTCAAGTCAAATCCTCATTCCCAACTTTGCTGTCCAGTATTTCACGCTGGACAGCAGGTGCCTTCTTGGCCTTTTAGCTTCTGTCTTTGGGCCTTGAGGCCCTCTCCCCACCGCCTTCCTGCGCTCCACAGCTGCACTCTATCTGTGTTCCGCTGCATAGCATTCCCCCTCCTCCAGTTCCCTTCATCTGGTCTCTGCCTTCCTTCTCAAAATGCCATACAGACATTGTCTTGCCAGCTTTATCTAGCTTATCTTATGCTTATCATTACATTTCAAGAAACACAGCCTTTACGTGGATTCTTCTGGCATCTTTAAACTCTTCAAAATTACAAAGACCAAAAATGTTTACATGTCAGCTTTAAAAATCACAAATAAGTTAACTACTTTGCAAATTTAAGTTTCCTGCCACTCAAAGGGCTATAGTGCCTTTCTAATTACTCTGAAAGACCTCGGACAGTGACATGGTAGGAAATATTCTGGGTTCTACAGCCTTTTCTTTAGTAACATCTACCTTCAGAGGTCTAATTCCATCAAATCCTCACTTAGCACTTTGTCTATAGTGAGACTCTATTGACTCCATTGAGTCTATTGAGTGTCATGGAGAAATTCTTCTCATATCATGTTAATATGAATATAAATCATTCAGGGAGTTTGTTTGTTTGTTTTGGGCAGTGCTGGGGATTGAACCCAGGGCCTTTTTCTCTGAGCTACATCCCCAGCCCTTTTTAAATTTCTTATTTTGAGACAGAGTCTTCAGGGTCTTTTTTTCTTCTTTTCTTCTTCTTTTTTTTAATACCAGGGATCAAACTCAGGACCTTTCACTTTCGAGGCAGGCACAATGCCACTGAGCCAAATCTCAGCCCTTCAGGGTCTTACTAAATTGCCCAGGCTGGGCTCAGAATTGTGATCCTTCTACCTCAGCCCCCCAAAATACTGAGATTGCAGGTCTGGGCAGGGCCTGAGAGACTATGTTCGCATCACATTCCCAGGTGACACTGATGTTGATGTTGACTTTATCGGAGGGAGCCTCTCAGCAACTTTGGCACTGGAACCAAAAGCCTTATCACAAAACAGTTTCTTGTACTCAGCTAATGAGCTCTCAAATTAGGTCTCACCCAACTCGGGTTAAAATTGGGCCTCTAATACATATTGATGTTGGCTCTCTAACTGTACTTTAAAACTTTGTTTTTTGTTTTGCCAATCTTTCTACTTTCTGGCTGATTTTTGTTAACACAGTATGTCACAGGCTGCAACGCTAGGTCTCTACTCTCCTAAATAACTCAGGGAAAGAGTAGTCATTTTTTCTCTAATTTTATTTTTTTAAGATTTACTTTCATTTGTACATGTTAGATTGTGTCTCATTAGCACTTTTTAAAAACTTCGTTCTTGGACTTACTAGACATGATTAAGAATGTTCATAAGACAGAAATGATTGCATTACCAGTAAAGCTATTTTTTAGCAACAGGCAACATTTTTTTCTTTTTTTCTTGCAGATTTGGTTTTATGTTGGAACCCATGAAACATAGCCAATTGAAAACTTATGATTAAAAGGGTTTAATTGAATAAAATAAAATAGATTTAATAATCCTAATATCTGTGGTTTCCAAATTGACAAAATACAAAAAAAAAAAAAAGGGTGAGGTATAGTGTTGCATGCCTAAAATCCCAGCAGGCAAGAGGCTGAGGCAGGAGGATCACCAAGAGTTCAAGGCTAGCCTCAGCCACATAGTGAATTCAAGGCCAACCTGAACTACATAGTGAGACCCTGTCTCAAAAATCCAAAAGGGAGGGAAAAATCAACTGACTAGATACTAAGGCCCCTTCTTTTGATTTGACCATTTGGTTACTTACTTTGTGGTATGTACTATTTCTGGGCAGTAGAAGTGTTCAGTAGGCATCTTTCTTGTCTAAATCAACACAGCAATAAGACAATAGGGTCAGCATAATGAGACAAAAACATCATTTCTGTTTTTGACAGAGCTGGTGAAGCACATTTTTATAGGCACCCCAGCAGCATTCCTATCATAATACTGCACTCAGGTGAAGATTTGCATACCCACTCACAAAAAGGAATGGGTCACCTGGGCAGCCTCTTTCTACAGCTGGTCTCTTTGTACCCAAAAAAGAAAAAATGGGGTAGGACTGAGCTTCTTACTCCAGCTCATTAATCACCAAGCCCACCTCTTGGCCATTTGGAAAAGCTGGGAGTGTTTTACCACCACACATGCTTCCTCCCATGGAAGAAAACATCAAGAGTGGGGAAGAGACGTTTGACATCCCTAAGCCAGTACTTTATCTTATTTAATTCCTGCAAGAGAACAATCAATATTTATTGAGTGTCTACTATACACCATTCTGTTTCAGTGCTGGGAATACAGAGCTGAGCAACAGTCACCTCATTTAGTTCCTCCAATCCCAGCCCTATCAGAACTTGTCTTCATTTAAATTTTGATATTTTATATATCACAGATTCTTTCACAATTCTACATTTTAAGAATATTGCATTAAAATGTTATTTTATTACTCAGCTTTTTGGCTCTCTGTTAAATCTTGTAGGTGAAGTATCTTGCTTGCCTTACTCCAACCTCAGCCCTGGTTTTAAAATAAATTTGCACAGAAATTAATAAATAACTTTTTTACTTACCTAATTAAATACATTTTAATGTGTATGATGTGCACTAATTGAGGAATTAAGGCATATGATAGGAAGTCACTTGGTGGACAATTTGGTTGGGAAAAACCTAAAGGGATGTAAAGAGTCAGTTGCCGGGCAGTTTGGAGAAAAACTTGTAAGTCCTCAAGGTGAAAATGCACCTCAAATTTTCAAGGACCCCAAAGGCTACTATGGTTCATATGTCAAAGACATGCCAGGTAAGTAGTATTCTATTTGAAGGCATTAGAAAGATTTCAAGTTTTAGGGCTTTCTAAGCCACAGTAAGGAGTTTGAATTTTATTCCAAGTGTAAAGGATGCAATTGAAGGATTTTAAGGGAGACCAATGTGATTGATCTTTAAAATAATTCTCTCCTGTGTGGGTAAAGGATGGATAATGGGGGTGGACCGTGAAAGTGTAAAAGCGGGGACAAATGCTGGTGTTCCTAGTGAAAGAAGATGTTGACTTGTATTAGGCTAATTACAGTAAATTTGGACAAAGTACAGACAAAATTGTTGATGGGACTTGGTGGATTAAAACGGAGGAGGAAAAGAACCACCGGGAGTTTCAAGTGTCTTAAGTCCAGCAAGCTGGTGGACAGAGAAGTTCTTTACTGAAACGAAAAGGACTAGAAGCCAGGCGCTATGGTACACACTTGTAATCCCAGCACTCTGAGAGGTTGAGGCAGGAAGCCTGCAAATTTGTGCTCAGCCTGGGCAATTTAGCGACTTAGGCAGACCCTGTCTCAGAATATATTTTTTTAAAGGGCTAGGGATGCAGCTCAGTATAAAGGCCCTGGTTTCAATCCCCAGGACCCCAAAACTAAAATTAAATAAAAATAAAGACTGGAGAAGAACAGGTGAGAAGGTGAATATGCTATGAGTTCCTCAATTTTGTGTATGTTGGGTTTGAGGTGCCTGTTGGATATTGGGGAAGCAACTGGTGTGAATGTAAGAGAGAAGGGTTAGATAGGGATGAAGGTAGAGATGTGGGTGTCATGGCGCCTTGGTGGAAATTACAGGTGGACAGATTATTTTAGGATAGAGCACAGGTTGGAGGAGCTGGAGGCTGGGGATGTGGTCTTGGGAGCTGCTGTTTGTACAAAAGAGATGAAAGGGAAGGAAGAAAAGTGAGAGAAGGATGCGTCTTAAGAATAGGATGACAGCAACTGACAGGTCTAGAAAAAGAGCAGGCCAGAGAAATAATAAGCAATCCTGGCAACATGGAAGTCGGTGATCTTTGGTGGGAAGGGACAAAAACATAGCGGGCGTAGGTTTAAGACAGTAGAAAGAAAGCCTGTCGAGACAGTTGGTTGTTACTACCGTTTTATTCATGAAGAAACCGAGGTTTGGAATGGTTGCATGACCCCAAGTCAGTCTGGAGAATCAGACTCCAGACCTTAAATCCAAGAAATGGTCGGTTATAAGGGCACAACCGCTTCCAAAGTGTAAAAAAAAAAAAAAAAGAGCGTCTCCCCCAGGAGCCCACTATTTAAATTACACTTTCACGAGGCTCCACCCATTGTAAAGAGGAAAACAGAGAGCGCCCAGCTGGTGCTGGCAAAAAGGCAGAAGAGCTCCCGCCTGCTCCGCTGAAAGGGAACTCCGCCCCCTTTTCCCCACTGCGGCTGCGCGGCAAGGGCGCGCGGCCGGCGGGGGCGGGAATGCGGAAGGCGTTGGCTTCGGTGTGGGGCAAGAGCCGTGCCGGGGGCGGGGCCGGGGCCGACAGTGGGCGTGCGTGCGGGAGGGCGTGGGGGTGGTAGGTGTGGGGCCCAGGGAGGCGGCCGAGGCGGTGCAGTGCGAGGCCGGAGGGGAGGCGACGCAGCTCAGGCGGCGGCGATGCTGGAGACCCTGCGCGAGCGGTTGCTGAGCGTGCAGCAGGATTTCACCTCCGGGTGGGTACACGGTGGGCGGCCGGAAGGGGCCCACGGGCGCTGTGGCCCGGGACGCCCCTGACTACTGCTGCCTGCGCCCCGCATCGCCCTGTCCCGCCGCGCCGAGGAAAGTAACGAACTTCCCGGCGTCGGTGCTTCGGCGGCTCAAAGTAACTTTGGCGTCACCCGGCTGGCCCCGGCTCGCACCCTGGGATGCGGGGACCCTCCCGCTCCTCCATGGGACTCTGGCCCCGCCGCCGCGTCCCTCCAGCGCCCTGGGACACCTGCCGGCTCGGGAATCCCCGGGGACCGGGCTTGGCGGCCTAACCTGGCGAGGCTGCCCGCGTCCCCTTGGCCTCTCTGCCTTTGCCCTGGTACTGCACTGCGCCTCAGGGGCGGAACTGGGCAAACGGAGCGACCGAACTGTGGCAGTGCCATGAATGCCCTGTGACCCAGAGCTCCCCAGCTTTGGCCTTTCACAATCCCCAGGTCCCACGGGCCAGCTCAGACACTAGCGTGTCCAGGCGTGGAGTCAAGATTCCCAGGTGATTCCAATGTGCGGCCGAGTTGGGGAACGAGATCTGGCACCAGGCTGCCACACTCTTCACGCAGGCTCTGCTACTTTCGTGCTGACGGATTTCTCCGAGTTACTCAGTCTTCACAGTGTCTGCAGCTATAAAATGAGGATAATGGTGGTCCTGAAGGAACTGTGGAGAGGATTGATGAGCGAGCGCTGTGTCACTATTGTCATTAATGCTTAATTCATGTTCTTCGTTACTTTAGAAAGGTGTCACCTTTGTAAGGGATCTGTCACCTTTAGTTTACGATTCCTTTGGGATGGTGAGGGCGGCTCAGTCCTACTGTTTTAAATTCCTTACCGGAAAGATGTTAAACGTGCTACTATTAAATAGTAGCAAACTCGCAAATGCTTAAGCGCTTACCGCATATAAAGCGTCTGGGTGTGGTTGCACACCTCTGTAATTCCAGCAGTGGAAGGCTGAGGCAGGAGGATGGCAAATTCAGCACAACCTGGGCAGCTTAGCCAGACCCTGTCTCAAAATAAGGTGCTCAGTGCGAAGGCCCTGGGGTCAAGCTCCAGTACCATTACTCAGAGCAATTTTCAGATATTCCCACATTTGCTTTGTCTTTCCTTTAATTTATAAAGTGAACCTCGGACGTAGCCTCTTGTACATCCACTTGCTTTACTGAAAAAGAAATTATTACATCAATGCCAGTATGATAGCTAACAAAATTAACACTAATTCCTTGATTGTATCAATTATCCAGTCCATAATCAGATTTTCTTGCTTCTTAGAAATATCTTTTTACAGCTGGCTTGTTCAAATCCACATCACGTAAGTTCCACACATTACATGTGGTTAAAGCCCAATTTTTAAAATAGATGGTTGTTGAGGAGCCACATGCGGAAACTCTCATGGAATCTTCTAGCGGGTTGGTTTATTTTCAGCTTCCTGTAACATCCTTTCCCCTATTATTCCAAACTGTTTTTTTCCTTTTGTTTCATTGCGGGTAAAAGGGAGAGTCCCAAACTGGGTCTGTTACAATTGAGAAATCACAGGTTTATTTTAGAAATGCGCATTTGAAATGCCACCCTAGAGATTTGCTAGGTGCTATGATAAGAGTGGTCCAGAAAGGATCCTAGCAATTCCCTTTCACACCTGACTGTGTAGCACTGTCTCAAAGCACGGAATCCCAGGAGCATTTTGGGTGTGATGCACTCCTGTGTCTAACTGTCCTGGGAAGGGCCTACCTGACTTGGAACGGCTGAATTCCTTTCTCAGACTTTGGAATAGAAATTGTACAGCATGGCTATGAAAGTAGTTTTCCCCAGCTTTTGTTTAATCATTATTTAAACTGGATTTACTGGTTTCCAAGATAAGCTTGGAGATTTATATTGTTTCTCTAGGATGGATGAGATTTTTATGTTCTTTCCTAGACTCACCTAGAGAGATATACAGATTAGTTTTATATTCAAGAATTGTTGAATCTCATGAGCAATGAATCTCATCAATGCTTTTTATAAAATTCTTTGCACAAAATTGGAATTCCAATTTGGTTAGACAAAACATTTGGTCAGAAATCCCTTTGTGCTTGGTTAGGCGTTATTGACACAAAAGACACCTGGGGCAGGGTGTGCATGTATAGATCTGTACAGTGCAGCGGTGAGGCATTCATTCCAGAGTAAGCCCATGCCTTAGAGCAGGTTCTGGCTGATGGCAGTGAAGCGCCTTGAGGAAGGAACGCCATCTCTATAGATGTGGGTATCTGTTGGATTAATTTAAAAGAACGTGTACATCATTATCTCATTTTCTGAGATTGTCTCATAATCTCACAATCTCATTCACTTATTGGCAAGCTCTATTATCTGAAGAGTCTACAGTCAACTGAAAACTGGGCCAGGGAAGACAAATTAGTCTGTGGACCTCATACTTTATGTTTGGAAGAGACTGTGAATTTTATATATGCAGTTGTACTCAGTTTGTTGTCTGGTCTAATCATTTAAAAACAGCATATAGAAGGGAAGGAGGCTGGTAGAGCAAATAGCTAGCAGAAGCAGTATGTGATTGTGATGACCAGCTGACCAATAGCAAAGACAGGAAATTTAGAACTAGACGTAAGCGGCCAAATAAACACAAACCCACCAGGGATTGGTTTCAGGTTAGCAAATGAAATCACACTCTTAGGTCAAAGCACCTGAGGAAAGTTCTGTCTGCCTGCAAAGCAAGTTGCAGCCAGGTGTTTATAATAACAACCCAGGGTTATCAGAGAACACTAAATGTGCTACACCAGATCCTTTTAATGGGAAAAATTTGGAGTGTATTTTAGGAAGCTCTTTTTTAATTAAAGTTTTAATGTCGGTGATTAAAGATGTTTGGGTGCCTGGGATAGTATGTACTTAGCAAGGTATGCTGTTTTATTTTGTATATTTGCCTGTGTTAACTCTCAAGTTCACTTATGTGAACCACTATTTTTTCTAAGGATATCAGATTGTCTTACTTTTCTCATTGCTGAGACAGAAAAAAAAACACAAAAAACCCAACACCCAAAGTTAAAGGAGGAAAGGTTTATTTACCTTACGCTTTGTAGAAATTTCAGCTCATAGTTGGCTGACTCCAAGGCAGGGTGGCAGGGCAGAGGGGCAACACAGAGAAGAAACAGTTCATGGAGGGCACAAGGTAGCAAAGCAACAAGGGAAGACTACAGCTTTTTGTATTCCTTATATCTTATCCAGGCTACTTAGGGCAGGTAGCACTCGCACCCTTAATCCTAGTGTCTTTGGTCCTAGCACTGCACCATGAATCACTTCCAGCTTCACACACTCTAGATCCAGCCACCTCTGAAAAAGCCCCACCTATGACCACATGAGGTTTGAGGAAGACATCTAAATTCAAGCCATAACACAAAGTTTTTATTTTGTTTTGTTTTGTTTTACTGTGACATTTAGCAATTGTTTCTTAAGAGATTTTGGAAAAATAAAAATAAAAATTACTACCGATTTTCCATTTATGGTGCCTGACATAGTAAACACTCAGATATTTGTTGCCTTAGAGGTGCTTAATTCTGCTTTTAAAAAATTAGCTTATGCCACCTAGAATTGTAAAAATTGAAAACTGTGAAAACTTGTGGTTGAACATCTCCTGACCTGTAAGAATACATTTTATGCTTGTTGAATTATAGGCTAAAGACTTTAAGTGACAAGTCCAGAGAAGTGAAAGTCAAAAGCAAACCCAGGTAAGCTCATGCTAAGATTTTAATTTAACATAAATTGAATTGCGTACAACTTTTGGTTGTACATTTGGTTGTAAAATTACTCTATAGGTTTTAGATCGATTGAGTACAGTACATCTGACTACAAAACAATTTGATTCTAAATTTGTAACAGGAAATTTTTTTGATAAAATTGTCCCCTGGCTGAAAAAACTCATGAAGTGTTTTGTCTTTTAGACAACAGATAGCTGTTGTTTGATCACAGTTAACTTTTGAAATTTGTATTCTAAGACCAGTGTAGAAGGCTTGCATTATTGAGAAGCAGATGAATAATGAAACAGGACCTGGCACGTGAGTTTCTTGAGCTGTGCTACCTGTTTTATTATGAAAACGCAAGAATAGTGGGTTTTCCCCAGTACTTTTGGAAAGCAAAGCGTGTGACCAAATCTCACTTCCAACCCAGAGATGGTGCGCCTTGATCGTGCATATTTATTCTCTTGATCTAGCATGGTGCTAACCTGCTTGTTGTATTATTGTGTACTCAAAACAAGTCTGCGGGACAAAGGGACAGTTGAAATTCTGCAGTACATTAACTCAGAAATAATATATTTTTCTAAAAGTTTAGATAAATTGTCATTAGTTGTTTCAAAATATCTTACAGTTGCCAGTGACAGAATTCTTATATGTAACTTCTTTTAAGTTGACTAAATTAGAAATGGTTTTAATAAAATAAGTGTTTCTTTTGGCAGGACTGTTCCGTATTTGCCAAAGTACTCTGCTGGACTAGAATTACTTAGCAGGTAAGTGTTTTCCTTTAGAAGGCAAATTACACTTCCAACATGTCTAAAAATATTTTATAATTTTAAAGATTACCAAATTTTACCTTGTTATAGTGCTTGGAAATTGTTTACTTTTTTCCTTTTCACTGGTTAGTACCAAGGCCATTCAGACTTTAGACAGGTACATCATTATTGCACTTACTAGTTGGTACTTTATTATATGTATTTGTTATATATGATTTCTTTGCAAGAAAATTGACTCTGAACTTGAGTTCTTAATAATTCGTTTTCTTATTTTGACTCTTAATTTTCCACCAGTTATTTTCTAATTCATTCCTGTTGACATGCATTAGTATTAGAAGATACAGTTTTCTTAGACATGATATCAAATGCATAAACAACAGAAGAAAAAAAATAGGTAAATTGGACAAGGACCAAAATTAAACACTATTGTACTTCAAAGAACACCATCAAGGCTAGACACAGTAGCACAGGCCTATAGTCCCAGCCCTCTGGAGGCTGAGGCAGGAGGATGGCTGAGAGTTTGAGACCATCCTGGGGCTACATAGTGAGTTCAAGACCAGCCTGAACTACATTGCAAGACCCTGTCTCGAACCAAAACAAACAAAAAGCAACCACCACAGAATGGGAGAAAATATTTGCAGGTCATATATTTGAGAAAGGGCTTTATCCAGAATACATAGAGAACTTTTGTAACTCACTAGTAAAAACACCACCCACTAGCCAGGCATGGTGGTGTATGGCTATAATTACAGTACTCTGGTAGGCTGATGCAAGAGACTTCATAAGAGTGTAGCCTGGGCAATTTAATGAGTTATAGAGACCCTGTCTCAAAATAAAAAGTAACAAAAAGAGCCAGGAATGTAGCTCAGTTCTTAGGGGTTCAATCCTCAGTAGTGTCGGTGGGGGGTTGTGGAGGCAGTCCAGTGAAGAACTAGACAAAGATCTAAGTAGGCATTTATGCAAATTAACCCAGAACCAGTCATGGTGGCGCATGCTTGTAATCCCACCACTTAGGAGGAGGATAGTTGTGAGTTGGAGGCCAGCCTCGATTACATAGGGAGTTCAAGGCCAGCCTGAACTATGTAGCAAGACCCTGTCTCAAAAACAGACAAAAAAGCACAATGAGATACCACTACACACTTACTAACACATGTGCAACGGTGTAGCCACTCTGGAAAACAATTTAGTAGTTTCTCAGAAACTTAGACATAGCTGGATGTCGGGGTGCGTACCTGTAATCCTGGCATTTGGGAGGATGAGGCAGGAGGAGCCCAAGTTCGAAGTCAGCCTTGCCTACATAGTGAGATCCGGTCTCAAACCAAGAAAAAAAAGTTAGATGTGAAATTATCATGTGACCTCAGAGAATTAAAGAGAATTTTTATTTGACTCCAAGAGAATTAAAAGCATATATCCATGTAAAACTCTTACCTAATTGTGCATGGTTATAGTCATAATAGCCGAAAAGTAGAAAGAGCCTGTGTCCATCAATTGATGAATAAACACAATGTGTATCATCTATATAGTGGATGAAACATTAAAATATGAAAGGAGCCACCACCAAAGGTCACATATGAATCCATTTATATGAAGTGTCCAGACAGACAAATCTGTAGAGAGAAAAAAGTACATTAGTAGTTACTAGGATTTGGAGGGTAGTGACTGCTGTAAGAGATAGAGGTTTCTTTTTGGGGAATGAAAATGTTTTAGACTGAGATAGTATGATCGTTTTACAACTTTGTGGTTGTACTACAAACTATTGAATTAGATACTTTAAAAGAGTGACTTTTGTGATATATAATTTATACCAATGATGAAAAATGAGTATATGGTTTAAGTATGTTGCTACGTGAAGTTGTGTTTTATAACATGACAGCTGACAGAGCTGTGCAGTAGCAGATAGTTGCTTTTATCTGTATTCATTTATGCAGAGTAACTGCTATCTGTGTTTTCCCTTTTCTAGTTCTTAGTTGTATTTCTTTTTATGATTGCCCAGTCTGGAGGTTTTTCTTCTCTGAAATGAAAGTATATTTTGGTAGTAATTTCCTGCTTGGTTAGGTAAAGAACATAAGTGAAAATGAAAGGATCAGTAGTAAAAACCAACGCTATACTGTTTGTTTATATTTTATTTTTTATTTTCTCTAGTGACTTAGCTGGAATGAACTTAATTTCATTGAAAGGTTTGTTTTGGAGGTGTAGACTCATGCGTGGTAATCTTTTAGGGTAGGGATGTATTTTATGACATTATGAAAAGTTTACAACCATAGGAAAGTGCCTATAATATGTGCATACATTGCATGAAATGATTTTTTTTTCTCAGTGGAACTAATAGGCGAAAGGAAAACCATTTTAAATAATGACCCTCTAGGTCATATATTTTTTAATTTTGAAAATTCTAGTAAAATAAAAGTAACATCAAATTTACCATCTTAACCATTTTTAAGTGTAGTTTTAATAGTGCTAAGTATATTTCATACTGTTGTATATCCAACCCTCAGAAATCTTTTCAGCTGGCAAAACTGAAATGATACCCACTGACTACCACTTCTTGATTCCTTCTTTCCCGAAAGGCCTTGGCAACCATCATTCTACTTTCTTTATGAATCTGACCACTCTTGACCTCATAGATGAGAAATCATATAGTACTGTATTTGTTTTTTTGTGACTGGCGTATTTCGCTAAGCATGATGTTTTCAGGGTTTATCGATGTTGTTGCATGTGTCCAGATTTCCTTTCTTGCTCAGACTGAGTAATAATATCCCACTGTAGCTGTATACGTCCCATTTTTTTCATTCATTTGTCAATTGTCACAGGTTGTTTGTGCCTTTTGGCTATTGTGAACAATGCTGCTGTGCACATGCGTGTATATGTATCTTTTTGAGATCCTGCTTTCAGTTCTTTGGGGATTATACCCAGAATCTAAGTTGCTGGATAATAGGGTAATTCAATTTTTAGGTTTTTGAGGAGCTGCTATGCAGTTTTCCACAATCTCTTCTCTTCGTGGGACTCCATGCCACGTGTCTGTCCCTGTTGATAGTGGCCCCTTAGGCTCTGTTCATTTTCCTCAAGCTTTTTTCTTTCTGTTCCTCAAACTGATGGCAGTTGTCCCATCTTCAAGCATGCTAATTCTTCTGCCTGATCAAATCCCTCTGGTAATTTTCATTTCAGTTACAGTCTTTTTCCACCGGTACTGGGTCTAAGCATGCTAGGCAAGTGTTCTACCACTGAGTTACACCCCCACCCCTGTTGTTTTGAAATTTGTAGTAAACTCATCACCTGGTCTTTTTCAGGAATGTTTTTTGTCAATTCATTTTTTCATTTGAAAGGACCATGCTGTCCTGTTTTTTTGCCTGCCTTGTGACTTTTTTAACTGGACATTTGAATGACAAGCCACGGTCACACTGGAGATCAGATTTCCCCCCATTTCCCAGGTTTTCCATTGGTTTTTGATTGTTGCAGTCTCTGTGCTGGTGTTCTGCTTGAGGTGTAAAGCTGTGATTGCCTCAGTCTTTCCTGACCCTGTACCTTTCACTGGACTTGTGTGATGACTTTCTAGATTCCCCCATATATGTGGATGCTTTTGAATGTCCTAGTTTTTAAATGTCTGGCTTCCAAAAAGGAGAAAGAGAAACATGAATGGGGACAAAAACCAGGCACTGGTCTTTTAAATTAAATCCATTGAAAGTCTCTTTAGCAGGAAGGACAGGGATTTATACCAGCAGCTGCCTGTGTGTCTGCATTTCTCTGATCAGAGCCAACAATGAGTGACTAGGGCACAGATCCCCAGTAATTGGAGGACAGACTCCTTACCGTCAGCCTTGGCTCCCACAAGCTACTTGGGTTTTCATTTTTCCCCCTTTGGTACCGGGGATTAAGCTCAGGACTTTGTGCTTGCCAGGCAGGCTCGGCGCCCCTGAGCTACATCCCCAGCCCCCACAAGCAACTTGGAAACTGCTTTGGGAACCAGTGCGTGGCTGTCTGCCCTGGGGTTGGAGAGGAGGAGGACCGGTTGTGCTATTGTGCTAAGTGCTGAAATTGACCAAAATTAATGTCAGTTTTCCATCCAGGCCTTCCCCTAGAAATTGCAAGCCTTCAGTAGTCGCCAGTTTCATCAGGCAGGCTCTATCATAGCTGTTGTGGTCCATGCTGGGAGATATTCTTGGTGCTTCCCATCTGCCATCTCCCCTCTGGCCTCTGAATCATAACTTGTTAACCAGGGTAGCACACCAAGGTTAAGAATTAGTCTCCTGCATCTGGGGATATAGCTCATGGCAGACTGTTGGCCTAGCATGTGCAAGGCTCTGGGTTCAACCCCTAGTACAGTATCACCAAAAAAAGTATATTCCTATAGCTCTAGTGCTTTATAATTAGCACTTTTCTTTGTCTACCTTAGAAGGTAATCATGTGCATATTTATTTTCTTACCTATATTGTGAACTCTTCCACTAGTTGCACTGGTACATGGAGAAAATGTTTAATAATTCAGCAAGTAAATTATTGTTTTATGAATATGGTTTCTTCATTTTTTTCATCATTTATTTGTGATTTTAACTCGAAACAGTACTCTTGCCTCAGCCTCCTGAGTCCTGGGATTATAGACATGCGCCATCACACCTGGTGAGATTCATCTGTAAATAATTTTTTTTCTTGATATATATTTGCATTTTGAATTATTTTTTGATTCTTTTAGGTATGAAGATACCTGGGCTGCACTTCACAGAAGAGCCAAAGAATGTGCCAGTGCTGGAGAGGTAATCAGTGAGCTAATCTTGTGCCTGTGGTAGAATTCCCTTTTTGAATGTTAAATGCTAGCTAGTCCTTTGAAAGTGTACAGGATATCTAGAATTTCATAGTTAATTGTGAAACTCCTCGAATAAAGCACACTTTGTACAGTTTCTCAGTTGGATAATATAGTTTAATTGGGCTGGAGTGTTCATAACTTATTCAGGTAAATATTCGATTCATCTAGGTGTAATGTTTTGTGCTGGAGTTTGATGGTTTTGCAGTATATGTGAATTATAAGATGTAATTCCATTCTGCTTACTCTTTAAGAATTCCTTTTTTGTTGTGTTGGTGGTACTGAGGGTTGAACCTAGGGCCTTTAGCACTGGGCTGCCTCCCGACCTCTTTTTTTATTTTTAAATTTTGAGACAGGTTCAAATCTATAAAGAACTTAAAAAGATCAGACCTCCCAAATTTAAAGACCCAATCCAAAAATGGGCATCTGAAATGAACAGACATTTCTCAG